ATATAGGTAATAGGCATTGGGAAAACTGTAACCATGTCACACGTAATGTCCCATATAAAAGACAGCAGCAGCCCTGGTGGGGAGAGAAGAAGCAGTCGGGGTCAGAGAGGATGTCAGGGTGTGTGTGTGCCTCTGCCTGAGCTGGGAGCAAACCACAGCAGCCCAAGGAGAAAATCTTTTAGATAACTTGCAATAAACTGCCTTGAGACCCAACAACAGAGATTGCTGAGCCTTTCTTTGGAAGCTCGGGCTGGAGGAGAGACTTTTCCAGCACATGGAGCCACCCCTGACCAAGGGTGAGCTCCATCAAAGTGCACCCTTGGTTTGGAAGTCAGGGATTCTCCACATGCACCTGCTCTGAATTCCTGCTTCCCTCAATGTTCTTTTGCCTTGTATCCCCACAGCCAGCACACAAACTTTGGGAGAACTCAACACTCCATCTAACCTGCAATAATTTCCAGGCTCCTCTGAATGAAAGCAGATTCCCCCACTGGTGCCTGGGTGCTAGAGGCCCAGTCCCTTTGTGGGGAATTGTGCAGAAACCAACTCCCATCCCACTCCTGCTGCCTCTGCTCCTCACTCCCTCTGCTGTGCGGCTGGTAATGGACCACGAGGCTGAATAATGACCCAGTTTTATTTAAATTCAGAGTTCTGAGCCCAGTGATTATTCTGAGCTAGAGAGGGCTAATTCCATTTCTGTCTGTCTTCACAGAAACTCCCAGGCAAGGCATCCAGTACCAAGCACCACAGCATCCTTGGAGCTGAGCCTTGGCAGGCCTGGAAGGGACTGGTGTTCACTGGGTCTCCACAGCTGGATGAGGAACATCTCCCCCAAACTGTCCCAGGCTGGAGCAGGGCCTGTTTCGTCAGGTCTTAAAATAAAAATCTGTTATTTAATTGATTTTTTTTCACTTGAAAACGCATTATTTCCAGGCAAGATGAACCCAGAGGGAAACACCTGAATTCTGAAGCAGAAGTGGGGCTGGTGTAGGAGCTGTTGACTTCTGGTTATGCAAAAATTGCCAATTAAAGCAATTCTCACTTAAAAAAATAAAAATTAACCAAGTTTCAAGACAGGAAACTCATCAATCAGTTACACCAGTGGGGCTCTGCTCTATATTCAGCCTGAGTTGCCCTGGGGGGTCACAGCTCTAGGTGACACTTTCTGGACGGGTTGAATCCGATCTGCTGAGGAGGAGGAAGCAGGAATGGATAATTTACACAAATACCTATTTTAAAGGATGTCCAAGTCTAAGCAGCTCAACTGGCACCTGCACAAAGATGTTTTTGCTGTTCACACACAAAACAGAGGATGTTTTATTCTCTCCTTACCTGAACAGGAGCATCAGGGCTTGGAGGAAAGTGCGGAAGTTGTTGTGCCGATTAATGGAGGTTTCATCATCTAAGGCAATGTTCCCAAATACCTGCCAGGGAAAACAGAAGGGATTCAGCCAGGCACATCAAATGGAGTTGGAAAGTAAGGCAGGGAAAGAATTTGTCCTCATTTAAAGGCTCTCAAAAACTGGAATAATTTCTGTGCTGAAAATGGACATAAAAACATGTTATGGAGATCAAACACAAGATTAATGGGCTTTGTGTTCACAGAGGTCCTTTCCAGCAGTTCAGCTCCATCCCAGGCCAAGTTTATTATTTCTTCTCAGGAAGGTGCAGTGCCTGGGCTGCTCCCTCCTCTCAGCCTCCTGATGTGTCCAAAGCCAGGGGAAGGGATGTCTTTTCCTGTGGGATTCATGGATATCCAGTGCTGAAATGTCCACAGTGCTGAAATGTGATCCAGGCTCATGCCCACAGCTCAGTGGGGACACTTCAACATAAAAGCTGACAATTAAAGTAGGAAAAGAGGCCTATTTTTCATTTCTAATTTACCTGACACCAGACAAAAAGAGCTTTTGCCTCATCCCAAATCAGTGCTGCTCCTGCTGTGGATGCAACAACCATCTGCACCCTGAACAAACCCAGGCTGCTTATGGCCAGAATATAAGAATTAAATATTTTACCTGCATGCCAATAATGGCATAGATGAAGAAGAGCATTGCAATGAGGAGACACACATAAGGCAAGGCCTGTGGGAAAGGAAAAAAGTGGGATTATTGACAGCAAATGCAAACATTGAATTGCCTGGTAGGACTGAGTTTTGTGGCATTTGTCCTTCAGGTATACAAACTGAGTTTTGTGGCATTTGTCCTTCAGGTGTATGGACTGGGAAGAGGATATGAAGAATTCTGGCAGGCCTCAGGAGACAATTCCCTGGAGCCAGGTATTCATCAACAGGCAGGGCTTTCCAAGGGCTCTCTCTGTATCCTTGGAAGCAGCAAGCATGGAAAACACACAAAATATTGGAGCTATCAGCAGGCACTGGCACTTTGCGTGCATAATTGTATGAACATTAATTGTTAATAACCTTGCTGTAAAATCACTCTGAGCAAAAAAAATAAATCTCCATCCCAGAATGAGTTCCTGCTCTGAAACAGGCCCAGTTTGGGATCCCAGGAGGACAAAAAGATTCAGAGTTTTAGCAAGAAATCAGTGAAGGCTGCAATGTAATTATGTCACTCAGGCTGAGAGTGACAGCTATGTTCCACTTGGGTTAAATTAATGGGTAATTAATGTCTCTTAATTAGTAATAGCTCAAAAATGGAGAAGACTTGCCCTCGGGCCAGCCCCTGTGGTGCCTGGGGCAGGAGTTCTGCAGGCCAAGGGAGCCCAGCAGGAATTGTAGAATCATGAAATATCCCGAGTTGGAAAAGACACCCAAGGATCACCCAGTGCCACCCCTGTCCCTGCCCAGACCCCCAAAATCCCACCCTGGGCATCCCTGGCAGCGCTGGCCAAAGGCTCCTGGAGCTCTGGCAGCCTCGGGGCCGTGCCCATTCCCTGGGCAGCCTGGGCAGTGCCAGCACCTCTGGGGGAAGAACCTTTCCTGCTCTCCAGCCTGAGCTGCCCTGGCCCAGCTCCAGCCGTGCCCTGGCTCCTGTCCCTGTCCCAGGGCAGAGCTGGAGCTGCCCCAGGAGGAGCTGCAGCCCCGGGGAGCTCTGCCCTCAGCCTGCCCCAGCTGAACCATCCCAGTGCCCTCAGCTGCTCCTCACGGGCCCCTCCACACCCTGCCCCATCCCCGCCCTCCTTTGGATGCTCTCTCACAGCTTTAGATCTTTTTTTATGTTGTGGTGCCCAAAACTCTCCCAGCACTTGATGCCGCCCCAGCCCAGAGCAGAGCGAGGCAATCCCATCCTTGGCCCGGCTGCCATCGCTGGGCCTCAGGCACCCCTGGGACAAAACCTGGAGGAAACCTGGAGAAAAGGGACTGATGGACACCTGTGCATGAGGGACACGGCCTGAGAGCTCTGAGCCGGGGGACAGACAGACAGACAGCTCCTCACGAAGCCCAGGCTCCACCTCAGGTCACGCTCAGGGCCCTGAAGGGTCGGGATGGTGCTGGGAAAGGCTGAGCCCCTTCTCCCGAGATCCATCTATAAAATAATTGTTCTGGCTGGGAGCACCCCACACCTGCAGTCCCCACCGAGGGGCCGGGGCTCTCTCCCACAGCTCCCAGCCCACCAATGCTGGTGTGTCAGAGCCCAGGATCGCTGCCACAAATCCTGCCTGCACGTTTGTGTTCTCCTGCCCTCACTGCAGAACCTGAGCAAGCCCCAGGACCAGAGATAAAGCATCAAACAATGAAAAATAGGCTGCAAACCAGCCGAAAGCTGTAAAAGTAACCCGTTTTGGGGCATGTGGGCTTTTGTTTAGCTCTAGAAATCAGCTAACTCAACGTGCTGAGGATTGGCAGGAGGAAGAGCAGAGGTAAAGGAAACCAAGCAAAGCAACTGCCTCAGCTTCACAACAAAACCCCAACAAAACCTCATTATTTTAATCCTCCACATCATCAAACCCAGGCCTCTGGCTCTACAGCTTCACACTTTGTGTTACCAAAGCTCAAGGGGCTGGTTTCACCTCTACCAGATCCCACCACACTCAAATCCTGGGGCAGGTAATTCAACCTTACACTCACTGCAGGTGAAGAACAAGGCACTCATCAGTCAGGCATTACTGCTTTATGCAAATTCCCGAGTGTCCAGACTTTGCAGAGGGAATTTGGGGTTATTTCAAGGGCAGCCTGAGTGTTGAGCACTTGCTGGAGCCTGCATGAGCAAGCAGCCCTTCAGCCTCCTCCTCCAAAATGCAGCATTCCGGGGATGGTCAGTGCTAACCTGTTCTCTTTTCTGCAGAAAATTAATATTCCTGGGGCTGGGCAGTGCTCACCAGTCATTTTTAACAGAATTAACATTCCTACAAATGGTCAGTGTGAACCAGTTCACTTTCAGCAGAATTAATATCCCTTGTTATGCTAACCAGTTGAATTAATAATTAATATTTTTGGTGCTGACCAGTTGGATTTTCTGCAGAATTAATATTCCTGTGCAAATAATGCATTGAGTAAACGATCTTTCAAAAGTTAAGAACAACATCTAGCAAAAGCCACCTAGTTAACACCCAAAACTCTACCAATCAAGTGAGCCCTGCCCAATCTAAACCTTTACATATAGTAAATAAAGACAAAGTCACAGTAGTACATGTTAAAAATTTGTCTTAAGTGTAAATCAATTCTGCCTTGAGTACAGACAAACCATTCATGGGATTGTCTTTGCTCAGAAACCAAGTTGCACATAGTAAATAATGCAGAAAAATAGAAGAACACAATGTACACCTCCAGAAAATCTAATTGTTAAGTAAAAACTATGTGTAAATATCGCTATTTGCTGAATGTTACTACCACCATCTGTGTATAGCTGTATACTAGATGTAGAATGTATGTGTTTGTAGATAGAATATATATATTAGTAATAAGCTGACAAAATGGAGATAAAGAGCAGAATATCCTAAGTTAACTGCATGATACTTTTATCCCCAGTCATCTCTTCTATTTATACTGAATAATGAGTTCTACACCTTTAAGACATGGCTGGGCAGTGCTCACCAATCCTCTTTTCAGAAGAATTCCTGAATTTCGATTTCCTGTAATCCCTCTGTAGAGGTGCAGAGAGGCCGTTCCAAGACAAGGGAAGCTGCTGGATCCTCACTGGAAGATGTTCCATGGGCGCCAAGCACGACCCTCTCCCCAAATCCCTCCCCACATTGCCAAGGCTCACCTTGAAGGACTGCACGAATGTCCAGAGCAGGATGCGGATGGTGTAGCCCTGGCGGAGGAGCTTGATGAGCCTGGCTGCCCTGAAGAGCCGCAGGAAGCTGAGGTTGATGAAGTTGTCCTGTGGAAAGTAAAGGTTTTGTGTCCTTCAGAAACGACCGCGATCCGAAACCACAGCCCGCAAAAAAGAAATTAAAATTACCAGCTTCACGATCTAAGCAGCAAATCGGCCACCAGAAAACCTTCCAAAAGAAACATTCGTCAGTGCAGATCACTCCACATGCAGCAAGAATGAGAAAACCCCTCTCCACAAGAGCCCTCCCCTCTGCTACTGGGTCAATGAGAGAAAAGGAAAAAGCCCTGTCACGCTGTCCTTGGAGGGCTGATTTGCTTAGAGCAAGAAAGTTTTTCTCCCTGTCAAGACTCAGGGAGAGGGGAATGGTGCCGGATTTTCATTTTGAAAAGGAATGAGGTTGGTTGAAAGTCTTGGTCAACGCAGTTTCGACAGGGAATTGAACTTAAGCCAAGACACTCGCAAGGGACAAAGAAAGGCATTGTCCAGTGAAGATTCGAACATCCTGGGAAGAATGAGGATGTTTTCAAACCTGGAGGTTTTCAATGGTTGTGCAGCGTGTAACTGGACAGGTTTGCCAAGGAGAAACGGCACCAGAAGATGGTTTGGAAGATGGATCAAGGGCAGCGAGTCAATTGGGGAGGTTGAGCTTTCACCAGCAGGAAGAGGCCTTAGGAACCTGCTGGTTTTCCAAATTCTCAGTAAGTGTGTCTGCACAAGTGGATCAAAGAACTGCTGGAGGCAGGTTCTGATTTCCGTTTGTTTTCTGGGATTTTCCCCACCCCTCACCCTTTTTTTTTTTTTTTTTTTTTTGGTTCTTTCCTTTGGGGAAAAGAGGATTCTCGCCCCAATGAGCTAATCTAGAGAGGGTTCTTTCCAAAACAAAACATGCAAAAGCCAGATCCCTCTTGCCCTCCTATTTTAAGGAGATGAAAAAATATTCCCCCTTTCCATAATTCACTTTTTTGTGGATCTCTGATCACAGCCACTTATTTGACTGAGTGAGCTAAAGAGAGAAAACATCCCACTTTAAACTATTGAGCAGTGAAGCAGCAAATATAATCATAAGGAGCTCTGCTTGGTAAAGATGAGCAAAAATTTTATTTCCCTTGGATTATTGTTTTACCAGAAGTCACTTTGAACTGACCCACATTTCTTGCTCATTTGGCTACAGAGCTCATGCTGAAATTGGGGGGCTTGTTGGATCTATGGATTCGTTCAATGCCAGCTCAGTTTTGGGGCCATTAGCATTGCATTCCACCAATCCCATCAATGAGTTCCAGAACTCAGTCTCAGGCATGCACTTGGTTTCTCTCAGGTTAAAAACACAAGCAGCTCAGAGTTAGGCACAGACCGAAAACCAGACTCGATCTTCAAATAAAGAGAAAAGAGAAAAGCACAGGAATGTTCAATGAAGGAGCAGACAACACTGAGCTCATTCAAGCCAGCAACAGAAGCCACCTCTGGCAGGCAAAGCACGAGCGAGGATTCCCCTGGGTTGGGCAGTAGAACAGGCACTGAAAATGTCCAGTTTGTCTCAGCATCAGCTCCAGGTTTGCTTTCACAGCGCTTACCTTCCCTTCACAACAGTCCAGCTGCACTCACCTGAGCAGGGCAGGGCTGGGGAGGGGCCCTGGGGCAGAGCTGGAACCCAGCTGGGTAATGGGGACCATCACTAATGGGGCTCTTCTTCCCACTGTGAGCCGGGCCCAGGGCAGGGCAGAGTTTAACCATGAGCCCTTTAAATCAGGAAAATCTCCCCACCAGTGGGAACTGGATCAGCCCTCAGTGTAATGCTGGCAGCACTTAGGCCTGAAAGTCTGATTTGAACTTCAGAGCAATGCTCAAGCCAGATCTTTCCTGTGCACAATCCCTAGGCTCCAAGGAGGAGCAGGGGCACAGGATCCATCTCTGTGGGATCCTGTGGGATCTCCCTCTTCCCACATAACGGCAGCCCAGCAGCAGCGATGTTGTCCTGCTCAGGCTTTGCTAAAACCTCATCATCACAGCTGACAGGATGTTTAACACCTGCTTTGGGCTGGGCTCCCTGCAAGCTGAGCTTACCCCAGTGCTACCCATGGAAAAGGGATTAAAGGGGAAAAGGGTTTAAGAGTGTGCAGTTACATCTGTGACCCCCAATTCCCTGGGATTTAGATGAACAAATAATCCATGTATTTTTTTTTTTCCCCTACGTAACTCTGACATTGCCACTTCCTAAAGAGCAGTGAAAGCCTCAGCTCCATGTGGAATCACTCCCAACCCAGGAAAATCCCCCAGCAGCGACACCCTGGCACTGTTGGAAGGACCGATCTCAGCACTGCCCGGAGAGAGGCAATTCCCCACTCTGGTGGTGGCTGCAAGGGCTCCACGTGTGTGGCACCCTCAGCACCCCACAGACAAAACCCATCCTCCCACACCTCAACTCTCCAGGCAGGAATTGGGATGGCATGCAGCCAAAGGGGAAACTCCACACTGCTGTATTTCTCGGGTAAAACAGTTTTTGGCATCAATTCTCCTTCCACTGAGCCACCTCTGTGCCATGCACAGATCTGATATCTGGGTTATCAAAGCCATCCTTTCCAGGTTTTTTTTTTTTTGCTTTCCTGTTGCACAGATGCTCACGGTGCTCACAACAGGCACCAGAGCTTTAGGATTTTATAATCCATCGGAGGAATAACAAATTATGTTTGGAAAATCATTTTCCTATGGCCTGTCACTATATTCCTGAAAAAGGAAGGTCTGGTACTGAAGGGAGCCTGGGGATCTGGGCATGGCCAGGTCCTGCCACCACCTCCCACAACAGGAGATGGGAGATGCATTCCTGAAGAAAACTGGGAAGAGTGGGTAAACAGGGAGAATAAACAGCATTGATAAAGAGCTGCCCTTGAAGGCTGTCGCACCATGGGAGACTGCTCTGATGCCCTTTTAAAGATTGTTTTGATAGAATCCCAGAATGTTTTGAGTTGGAAGAAACCTTAAAGATCATCCAGTACACCCCTGCCATGGCAGGGACACCTCCCACCGTCCCAGGCTGCTCCAGCCCTGTCCAGCCTGGCCTTGGGCACTGCCAGGGATCCAGGGGCAGCCACAGCTGCTCTGGGCACCTGTGCCAGGGTCACCCACCCTCCCAGGGAACAATTCCCAATTCCCAATCTCCCATCCATCCCTGTCCTCTGGCACTGGGAGCCATTCCCTGTGTCCTGTCCCTCCATCCCCTGTCCCCAGTCCCTCTCCAGCTCTCCTAGAGCCCCTTTAGACCCTGCAAGAGCTCTGAGCTCTCCCTGGAGCTTCTCCTCTCCAGGGGAGCACCCCCAGCTCTCCCAGCCTGGCTCCTTGGAGCAGCTCCACGGCCTCCTCTGAACTCCAGGATCTCCATGTCCTGCTTCTTCTGGGAGCTCCAGAGTTTTCCACACTGAAAAGCAGAAAAGGCATGAAGAGCAGGGCACAGGCACTGCCTGGATCTGTTCCCTGGTGCCTTCAGCAGCAGAGAGGTTTCCTGCCCAGCACAGGAGCTGCTCCCTCTGTCCAGAGGGACACAGAAGGAGGTGCAGGAATCTCACCAAGCCAATAATGGCATCACTCAGGAAACTTTATGACTTCTCTTCATCTGGCATCAACAAGAATCACCTTATTAATGAATTAATTAAGGAATTACTAATAAGAAAATGGCTGAGTTCCCATTTAAATGTCCATGCTATTGCCAGCACTGAAGTTTTCCTGAATCCCGCACAGGGTCTTGGCTTCATCTACAGTTTGGGGAATCCACTGCTGATTTTAAGAGGCTGAAGATTTTTGCCACCCTCGTCTGTCTCAAGGGCTCTGCCTTTGGAGGGACTTCCTATCAGTCCTTCCATCCTGAGTCAGAAATGCTGGAAAAATTTTGTGTGTGATACCCAGAACTCTCCTCATTCCCTACTTGACAGAATCACAGAATATCCTGAGCTGGAATGGACCCCAGGAATCACCCAGCCCAGCTCCTGTCCCTGCCCAGACCCCCAAAATCCCACCCTGGGCATCCCTGGCAGCGCTGGCCAAAGGCTCCTGGAGCTCTGGCAGCCTCGGGGCCGTGCCCATTCCCTGGGCAGCCTGGGCAGTGCCAGCACCTCTGGGGGAAGAACCTTTCCTGCTCTCCAGCCTGAGCTGCCCTGGCCCAGCTCCAGCCGTGCCCTGGCTCCTGTCCCTGTCCCAGAGCAGAGCTGGAGCTGCCCCAGGGAGGAGCTGCAGCCCCGGGGAGCTCTGCCCTCGACTCCTCTCCAGGATCCCTCTCAGCTTTGCTGCTCCTGCTGTGGCACTGCAGCAGCTCCAGAGGACACCCTGCTGCTCCAAAGACCTCACCTGAATTCCAAGTGGTTGAAGGAGCCTGGACCTATCTCTAACAACCCCAATCCTAAAAAAGTGCAGGATGAGTTTTTCAATCTTTAACCTGTAACAGGGACAGCAGCCAAAATTTAGCAAACTGATTTTTCCCCAATATATTTTTATGTTCACAGCTAATGCCAGAGCCCTTTTCTGTGCTGCCTGGGCCAGGTGTGCAGCAAAGTCTCCAAATTTATCTCCCACGCATCTGGAAGGGATCCAGCACCATGGAGGATTCCCTTCTTGGCTTGCACTGGGCAAGCTGTGAACTTACACATTGTCTTTTTCTCTGCTGCATGCCAGCAGAAAATTCCCCCCAGGACCCTTCATGAACAATCATGGAGTTACTGTGCAGCCTGGAAATAAAAATTCACCCTGATTTCTTTCTGAACAGCAACTGTGCAACAGGAAACGCAGATGTTCACAGATTCAAGAGCTGGTGTCAGGTGGCTGAGCAAGGATTTTTGAGAAACTTTTGGTCTTGTGTTATCAACCATATCTAAGATAATTAAGAATGGAAATACATATAGATATATATTTCTGATTGCATTTTCCTTTATGTATTCTCTTTTGTTAATTGGTGATTATCAAAGATAAAGGTCAATATTTCTGAAGGCATTTTTGGAATAAATTTGCACTTTGGCACTGAATTCCCAGTGGGATCTGGTTCCTGGTACTTTTCAGCTCTGGTCATAACATGATTTATGCATTTTACTTGGGGTTTTGGGTTTGTATCCAGTGACTCTGTGCCCACAATGGTGGCAAAATGAGTTCTTCTTTGGGTTGGTGTCATAGAGAATTTCCAAATTTAAGATCCTTCTTTCCCATGATTTTTGATTTGAGGGATGCAAGTCTGCCACCACCCCAATAATAATTCTGCATTACAGCTTAAAGCACCTGTTAGGCTGACAGGTGCCTCCTACAGCAGAAAGCTCTGAAAAGAAGCCAAACCCACTTAGAGAGAGCTGAATTTGGTACCAGCACCTCCAAACCCCAGCGTTTCCAGGTGCAGAACATCCTTCCCTGGCCATCTCCTCCATTTCCCATAGAAATAAAGCAAGTGGCAGCGTCCCCTTTGGCACAGGGGGTGGCACAGGGAGCAGGGACGGGCTATTGGCAACTGCTCAGGTCACCAATGAGCCCAGGGAGGGAGGTGCAAGGCAGAAGCCACTTTGGGGCACGCTGCAGTGAGGCTTTTCCACCAGTGCAATCGGAACTCTCATCAAAAAAAAAAAGAAACCAAAAACGTATCAAATCAAAGAAAAACGAGAGAAAATCAAAGCAGAGAATTTAAAGAATTGTTTAAATTCAATGAAACCAACCGTGTCCTATATGTGATGTTGTCATGGATGGATATTTGCAAGGTTATTTACAAAGTTTTATATTTTTTTTTGAGCAGCAGGTGCACAACATACAGACGGAGACATGGTTTTCGCATTGTATGTTGATTGGATGGCGTGATTCAGCAGGTAGATAAGGAAAATAAGGAACAAAAACAGGAAACAAAAGAGAAAATGAGTAATCAGGACAAGCAAAAAGGAAACTCTGAAAAATTTCACTGGAAGAAAACTGTTGGGCTATCGGGGGAGGTGTTATTTTATGGGAACTCCAGAAATAAAAAATGCTTCGAACCAAAACAGATTCGGAGATCCTTGAGGTAACACAGACAGTGCAGTTGTTATTTGCATTTCAGTTTGTAATGCAAATTTGGAGACAATTCACAAACACTTCTCAGGATGGCTTTTTATATTTCCAGGCATAGAAATAGATGTCAGTTTGCTAAACACCCACTCAGCCTCCCCAGGCTGACTGTGTCCACAAGGACACCTTTCCCTTAATCCCACCTCCTTTCCTTCAATTACTGAGGGTAAAAAACTGACATTCATGCTTTTGCCTGAGGAAATAAAAAAATAGATATTCCACTATAATCACAAAGTAAATTACATGTGACATGACCAGAAAAATTAAAAAAAAGCAATTAATCCACACTGTTAATTTCTTTTCCTTTTGTCTTTACTTCTCAGAGGGTTAAAGGTACCAAACAAGGCTGGTGGAATTCAAGTCTCTCCAGGTGAGGCCACTCAGGATTATTTACCTTTGGAGAACACTTCTAGCTGGAAAACATGGAGGAAAACGGTGCTGTGGCAACTATTTGTGAGCCTGAGCTGTGTCACACCTAGAAAACATCTCCACGGGGACCTGGAGGGTGGTGGGACAGGGACAGCTGCAGGCTGGCAGTCAAGGTCACCTTGTGGCTGTCACCTGGACTTCCCAGCTGAGGAAACTCCGTGGGAATGGCTGCCAGGAGGGTTGGAGGGACTGAAGGGGCTGTGCCAAGCTCTGCCCAGCTGAGGAGGGGAGGCTGGAGCTGAGGAAGGCCATGGAGAAAGGGCCATTCCCTGCGGGGACACAGCTGTGGGACTGGTGATCCAGGAGCTGCTCTCCTCTCTGCTTATTCCCTGCTCCAGGAGAGTGCCCTGAGGAAGCTGAGCTGGGGCTGGTTCAGCAGCAGCTGAGTGGATTTGATTTCTTTCATTTCCTGCTCTGCCCTACCTGGAACTGCAAAGGGAAAGAGGTTGGGCAGAGGCTACACCTGAGCTGTGCTCTGTGAATGAGGCACCTCCTGCTCCTCACCTCCATCCCTGCACGTTCACATCTCTGCATCAGCTCTTTCAGCCCTTTTTTCTGACATTCTTCTAAACTTGGTTCTATTTTGGAACTATTGGTTCAAGATTGGATCAAACTGGTTCTGTTGGTTCATTTTCCCACATTGGTTCTCAATACCAGAAGTATTTAAATCAGGTAAAGTAGCAGTTTAACAAAATGTCCCAAAACTGGCCAAATGGGGCAGGAACAGAGGGCTGCATCCTTCTGCTGCTTTTCCATCCTCAGGACTGGAAGGGAAGAATCCCAAAATCATGGAATGGTTTGGGTTGGAAGGGACCTTGAAGCTCATCTCCTTCTCCCCCTGCCACGGGCAGGGACCTGCCACTGTCCCAGGTTGCTCCAAGCCGTGTCCAACCTGGCTTTGAGGGCAGGAAGGTTTAAGTGACAGTGGAGAGCCTGGTACAAGACCACATCCACCACATTCCACTGGCTGAAGTGGAATGAATTCCACGAGGGGCTTCCCTCGTGGCCAGCTGCCATTACCAATCCTGTTGTCAATTCCGTTATCGATTCTGTTATCAATCCTGTTATCAATCCCATTATCAATCCTGTTATCAATCTTGTTATCAATCCCATTATCAATTCTGATATCAATCCCGTTATCAATTCCGTTATCAGTGTGATCTTCAGGGCACTGTGAGATCCCTCTGATCCCTGCCCATTGTCCCTGTGGGAGGCCGGCAGGGATGAGTGTGGCTTAAGGAAGCGTGTGCTGGTGGCTGTCCTGTGGGGATGGAGGGCTGCTGGAGCTGCATCAAAGAAGTGTTGAAAAACAAGTTTAGAAAGAAAAGTGGCAGGTGGTGGCCCCTGGGCAATCTCTGTCTGAAGGGAAAAGCAGAGAAGGAGATCTGGTGGCTACACACAGAAATCAAGGAATTGTTCAAGTTGGAAAAGATCTCAGAGATCATAGAGTCCAACCATTCCCACACCACTGCCAAGGCCACCATTAAACACTGTCCCCAAGTGCCACATGCACACAGCTTTCAAATCCCTGCAGGGATGGGGATTTCAGTGCCTGACCACCCCTTCCATGAAGCAATTATTCCTAATATCCACCCTCAACTTCCTCTGGAGCAACCTGAGGCTGCTTCCTCTTGCCTTTCTGCTTCTTACTTGGGAGAAGAGATCTACCCCTCTGGGTGCTGCTGAAGGGAGAGAATTTTAGAGAGCAGAGGCACAAAGGACCGAGAGCTCAGGGCTGGAGTGGTCCTGGGGACATCTGGCTTTTAGATGAGAGATGTTTGTGATCAGCTCCATGTTGGACACTGCCAGGGGAATCTGGTAACCTCATTTAGAAAATCCTCTCTTAAAGACTGAATGGATCCAGTTGCTCGTAAACCAAAAAAAACTCTTCTTTCCCACCTGGGAGGAGAAGGGAAAGGCACATGAGTCCCTGGGGGCTTAGCCCTGTTGGAGTTTCAGGGATAATTCCCACAACTCTGCAAAGGTTTTGATGCTGGAAATGTCTCAGAGCCCAGCCTGATCCAATTCCCTGGCTGGGCCATCCTGTGGGAGCTGGAAGGAGAGGCAACATCCCATTTAACTGAGCAGGGAAGGGCAACACTGTGGATGCTCCATGACTGTGAAATAGCTCCAAAATTGAGGATTTCAGCAGCATGTAGGCTTGGTGTTGAGAAGTAGAAACCTTCCTGAAGGAGAAGACACCAATCTGGGAGCAACCAGAAGCTCCCTTACCCTGTTTGAGCTGTCAGTGATGCTTTCTCCCAGGAAAAGTGGCCAAAGTGGGGCTGGAAAAGCTTCAGTCTGTCTATGGTGACTTGCAAATGTTTTCACAAATTTTCAAACCATGGCAAAAGTCTGGTTGCCCTTGGCAAGAAAACACATCCCATGGCAGAGGGAGTGGGGACAAGCACCCTGTGGCGTCCCACAGCACTCAGAGAGGGTGAGCTGAGTAACTTCAGCCTGGCTGCACTGAAAACAAAATCCAAACCCTACAACATAGGATCCACCAGAAGATAAATGAATACCATTTGTACAGGGAGGAAAACCTGGGGGTTTGTGCATTATTTTGTACCAAGGAAGTTAAATAGCATTTTGTTAGAAGCTGTCACATAGTCTTCACTACCACCTGTAAAGGAACGTGGGGAGTTCTGAGCAAACACAAAAGAGATCTACAGGCAAATTCCTGGGACTGAGGAGAAAAGTTATGGTCAAGTTCAAATTCATCACACTCTGATACATAATCAGCTACAACATGCACTGGGAGAGGAAAGGAGAAATTTATACATCAGGTAATATCAGACTGTCAGGAATTGAGACAGACATTGTCTGCCCTTTATGGAAAAATCCTTTAGAATTTAATAATTCTGAAGTCCAGCCACTTTGTGAGATATACAAGGCTTGTTAGCAGGGAGACAGCAGCTCTTGTAGGGCTGGCCAGGAGTCCTATGGGAAAGCTGCTTGTTTATTCACTGCCCCACAGAGCTTTTGTGACAGGAACACTCCCCCAGTCCAGACTCTTCACCTCTTCCCTTCCCTGTGTCCCTGTCACTTGCTTTCACCCTCACCCTGCCCCGTGACCCAGACTGGGCAGGAACCCCGAGGGTCAGACACATGCCCTGCAAAAAACCTCCCATTATGTTAAAACATGAACACAGCAGAATCCCTTTGGTCTTTTCCCTCTCTAAATTCAGCAGGATTTTTCCATGAATAGGCAGAAAAGGCCCGGGGATAGAGTTGTTTGCTGCAGGAGAGAGGGAGCTGCTTCCTGGCAGAGTCATGAGCACTGTGCTTCTCATCAGAGCCTTCCCTCTTTGGGGCAGACAGCTGTGCTCAGCTCCATGGAAAAGCAGAACTCATGGAACAGGTCAGCCAAGGCCATCATGACTCCCAGTGGCAGCTCCAGGGAATAAGACTGGTAGGGAGAAGGTTCAGTGTCTTGACAGGGCACAGCTTTGTTTATAAATGAAATAAATTGAGCAAACTGTACTTACCGCAATCTCTGTTACTAAAATATCAGTAATACTTCCCAACACTGTTACAAAATCAAAGACATTCCAGGCATCTCGGAAATAATTCTGCCAAACGAGAACACAAGGGGAATAGAAGGATCCAGGGGTTATTTTCTTTTTGCCAGCACAGGTCAGGGGGTTTTTGTTTGCTTGGTTTTAAACTCACATCACGAGACGCGAGCATTTCATCGAGAGAGGAAAGAGGTGGAAGGGAACGGGGAAGGCACCTACCAGCACACCAAAGGCAATGATCTTCAGCACACATTCCATGGAAAACATGGATGTAAACACAATATTCAGGCATTTCAGCATTTCTTCATATGCTTCTGGAGCATCATAGAACTAAAGTGGGATGGAAGAAAGGCTGTTACTGGAAGATCACTGATTCCTGCTCATTTTTGTCAGGATTCTGTGCTCACTTTAAGTGGGATTTGGGGTTACAACACAATTATTCCTGTCTCTCTTGCTCCATGCCATACTGAGGGGGCAGCTGGAATATTCCCAGCAGTGGATACTGTTGCTGAGGGACACCTCCCTGTAAGTACAGCATGGACCAGGAGGGACAAAGGGCATTTTCAAACCCAGAGGACAAGTGCAGAACTGTTTCTTCCACTAAGAATATGGGGACCCCTTGACTGCAAAGACAGGCAAGAGATAGGAGGGGACATCATCCACCTGTGTCTCTTCCCCCACTCTGGATCACATCCCAGGAGCCTGATGCTGTTCCAAAGTTGAGTAATTTCACAGAATCATGGGGTGGTTTAGGTTGGAAGGGATTTTAAACATCAGCCAGTCCACCTTCTGTCACAGGCAGGGACACCTCCCACTGTCCCAGGCTGCTCCCAGCCCTGCCCAGCCTGGCCTTGGGCACTGCCAGGGATCCAGGGGCAGCCACAGCTGCTCTGGGCACCCTGTGCCAGGGCCTGCCCACCCTCCCAGGGAAGGATTCCTTCCCAATATCCCATTTAGACCTACTCTGTTTCAGTTTGAATTTCCATAGCCTGACTGGACTTTGAGCAGCCCCAAGACCCTGCTCTGCAGGAGAAAGCTCGGGCTGAGCTGGAGATCAGGACCTGCAGATCCCAGCTCCCATCCCATGTTCACACAGCAAAGGGGCTGAGCCCAACCACCACTCTGCAGGGAACCCCACTGGTGGGATCTCATCCCAGCTAATCCACCTCCCTCGGGAGCCAAAGGAATCCCACCAGGCACACGGGGAGTGCTGGCTGCTCTGCTGAGACCCCACAGCTCTCAGAGTCTCTCCAGCCAACAGCCCAAAATTCCAAGATTCAGGGAGATCCCACTCACCTTCATCATGAGGACGATGGTGTTGAGAGCAATCATGACCATGATAAAATACTCAAAGGGAGGGGACACCACGAATTTCCACATCTTGTACTGGAAGGATTGCTTGTTCTGAGGCATGTAGCGGGTCAAGGGCTTGGCACTTATGGCAAAGTCTATGCAGGCCCTCTACAAAACAAAAAAGGGATGAAAAGATGCCACAAAAAGGGCTGGAAGTCTTTATCCATCACAATGTGGTTGGGAGAGCGAGCAGAGCATTTACACCAAGTGAGTACTGACTGTTCCTGAAAATGCAGCACAGGATCCCCAAATCCTGATCAATTTTCCTGGAATATTTACCCTATGCCCCTTGCAGTCCTACCACATCCTATGAGAGCCCAGCTCCTGCTCGGTCTTGATCCCTTCTCACTTCTAAAAACACTTCCAATTCCTCCTGATGGGCGATTGCAGGAACCAGGGGATTGGTAAAGATGTTATTTGTGGTTTATAAAAAGTATTGTGGAACTCAGATGTGTCCTCACACACAACAATACCTGAACAGCTCAGAATATTTCATAAAATGAGAACTGAATTTACCAATAAACAATCCACCAAAAGCACTTGGGGCAACTCTCAAGAGTTCCCCTTCACTGGCTATTTCTGTTCACTTTATTATGAATATAAAACTATGATAAAAATTGCTTTCTACAAGAGTTTTTGATTCTGAAACGTTTTGAATTGACATAAGAATTGCAAGTCTGAAATCACTTTCTGCTCAGTTGGAAAGTAACATGGGTAAAGCTCTCTATATTCTGCTTTATTTTGGACTTTTTTCATTTAGACAAACAAGAAACTAATTAAAAATCACTTAAAATTTCATCTCTTTTCATCAAAAATCAGGTTCAAGTTTCAAAATATATAAAAAGAGATGGTTCTTCCCAAAAGAGGTCATTGAGACTGTGGGACCCTGGAGGAAGGATGCTGCAGATGCTAAAAATCTGCATGGATTGAGAAGGAAACTGGATACACCCACGGCAGGAAGATACACAGATGCCAGTAACTAAAGAAAAAACAGCTCAGGAGGTCCCTGAGTGGAAAACAAGGGTATTTTTGGGGGCTTTAAAGAAAAGCCTCACAGCTTCTTCTACACTGGTCTTACACACTTGTCAAGGCATCTCCTTTTGGCTGCTGCCAGGAGGAAAAATCCCAGCCAGGCACAAAACCAGCCTGGAGAGTTTTCCTCTGAGCAGCCACAGCAGTTCAACCTCAGTTTGGCTTCTGAGGTCTGGCCTCAAGGTTTGCCTCCTTCTACTCCTCCAAACATGAGCAAACATAAAATCATGGAATGGTTTGGGCTGGAGAGGATCTTAAAGCCCATCCCATGGCAGGGACACCTTCCACTGTCCCAGGCTGCTCCAAGCCCCAGTGTCCAACCTGGCCCTAGACACTGCCAGGGATGGGAAGCTCTGTGGGCAGCCTGTGCCAGGGCCTCACCAGGTGTGCCAGGGCCTCACCATCCTCACTGTGGTCTGGTCCAGGGGGATGTGTGGCAGTGGCTCCCAACAGGAAGCATTTGGGAGCTCTCCCTGTTTTGTTTTTTTTTAATGCAAAAGCTGAAACAGCCACTCATTTCACTCTACACCACACACCCTCCAATAACCACTGCTCTCCAGTCCCCCCAGCACAGGGGGAACGGGGAGTAGCCTTCCACCAGTATCCAGGTGCTCTAAGCCCCTGGAACACCAACTCTGGAGTCAGAAGAGGTTGGTACCTCGTTTTTCTCAAGGCTGCACTCTGACATCACTTTATCTCCTTGCTCCTGGAAGGTGATGATGATTAACGCCACAAAGATGTTGACAAAGAAAAAAGGGAAGACAACAAAATAGACCACGTAAAAGATGGACATTTCCATCCGGTAGCCAGGGCTGGGCCCCTGTTCCTCGTAGGTGGCATCCACCGAGTGCTTCAGCACACTGCAAGCAAATGCAAAGAGAGAGGAAAGGTCAACACAATCCCTGGGAAGCACCAAGGACCCTCTGAGAATCACTCCCTCACATGCAGGGTTTTCCACATATGCTCAAGAGAAGCTTGCTCCCATCCATGAGGCTGGGAAGAAGTTTTCCTTGAGGATATTTTTAGGGAAACCCTTTGTTGTCACCATTTTGCAGAATGGTGGAGATTTGCTGTGCCCAGATCCACCGATCCCCCCTGATCTCCCAAAGGGGAGAGGATCCAGCTGGATCTGGCTTCTCTTCTCTGGTCAACAGGGATGGAGCAAGAGTGGGAAAAGAGAGGTGTTGATGACATCCAAGTAGGGGACCACAGTGAGGGACTGGAAAAGGGAGATGATACTGTTTTAGTCTTTATTTTATGAAAGAATCAAACGTGGAGGTGGAGAAGCCCTGGCCACACACTGCACTCCACGTGTGCCAAAATAAAGTCATGTGCTGAACAGGAAACGTCATTTGAGGTCTGTCATGCCCAGCAGACTTTCAGCAGAGCTCACAACAGTTTTCCCCCTGCATTTTCTACCATTTCCATTATCAGTTTTACCCCTGAGAAAGGTGTGTGAGTCCAAAAGCCTGAAGCAAGAATTGAAAACTTTCTGAGCATCCCTGTGCAAGATCGGGAGAGCACCAAGGAAAACGCAGAGCTCTGCCTGCTGGTTCACACAATAATCACACAAAACTTAGCTGATAAAAGACTTTTCTCATTTCCCAGGTCACCTGCTGTCCCTCAGAGCTCTGGGGACCTGCTTTACCTGCACCATCAGCCCCTGCCTGTGCCGTTTACTCACGTTGGCCACCCTTCCCCTGTGGACACAGTGAAGAGCGTGAGCAGAGCCCAGAGCACGTTGTCATAGTGGAACTCATATTTTTTCCATTCCCTGGGCTGTGCCTCCACCTCATTTTTTTCATAATCGAGGTACTGACCCCTAGGAAAAAGAGATTTGGAGCCAATGAGAGAATTAAATTAGATTAGGCATTTCTTAGCACTCAGGAGTATTGGAAAGCCCCAGCAGCACAGTCCAGACTGTGCTGTGGGTTAAAGACAAAGGGACACCCTCAAAGTCCATGACAGAAATAAAGGCCAATTTTTGAGCCAGCTCTGGCCATGGGAACTGGACTTTAAGTCTGAAAATGAAAGATTTTAATCAGGGGATTCATTAATTCATTAGGCAAAGCCAGCCATTAACACCATGCCTGCCCCTCAATTGTCTGACCCCACAGAAAACTTCTGCTTGGTGGGGAAACATCTCTGCCTCCTACTGCAGGGTTGGATCTAATTCCTAAATGTGTCCCTCTTTGAGGGGCCTGGTGGAGAACCCTCTCCAACCCACCCTACTCTGTAATTTCACATTCCTTTCCATAAATTAGCTGCATTTTTCCAAGGAAGAACTGCAGTGATGGCCTCTAGGACCCCAGCAGGGACGAGCCCTGCAGGTGCCAGGCAGCAGGAGAGGGACGGGCAGAGCAGGGCAGTGCTGAGGAGGTGCTTTGGGTGCCAAGAATAAAGCTAATGAGATGCACACACCTTGCCAGCCTGCTAGGAAGGACAAAGCATGACAGGGCTTTTAAGATATTCTCATCTTGTCCCTCTCCTCGCTAATTAGTAGCTCTTTAACGTCCCAGCTCCTGATTATTTATTCAGTGTGTTTTTCTAATTGATAAGAGCTCTAAGAATGGAGGCAACAGGTGGAAAGAGGAGTCACACTATCACAATCCCTTCTCAAACATCACACTCAGCTTTCCCAGGAAAGAAGCTGCCTCCCCTGTATCCTGAATATCAGAGCCAGGAATTACACAGCTGTTAAAGAAAAAGAAGAAAAAATTCACCTCCGGGGTACCTGAGCTGAATTATTACTGTTATTTACAGGAGACTCTTCCCATTCAGCAAATCCCTGACTTTGGGCCAGCCTGGGGAGCTGGAGGAAACTGCTCCCTGCCACATCCCCTGCTCCCAGCTGTACCTGCAGTCCTTCTCCAGCTCCTTGGACTCGTCTGTGCAGTAGAAGAAGCGGCCCTTGAAGAGCTGCACAGCGATGACAGCGAAGATGAACATGAAGAGCATGTAAACAATGAGGATATTGAGGACATTCTTCAGGGAGTTCACCACGCAGTCAAAGACAGCCTGAGGGTGCAGGAGGACAAGGTCAAGGGGTGGGAAGAAAGGAAAAGTTCATGCAAAATCTTGGCACCACAATTTAACCACACTCAGGGAATGACAGAAGTGTTTGGGCTGGAAGGGACCTTGAAGATCATCTTGCTCCCACCTTCCACTGCCCCAGGCTGCTCCAAGCCCCATCCAGTCTGGCCTTGGACACTTCCAGGGATCCAGGGACAGCCACAGCTGCTCTGGACACCTGTGCCAGGGTCTCTCACCTCCCTCACAGGGAACAATTCCTTCCCAATATCCCACCTAAATCTCTCTCCTCTGGGACTCATTACCCATCCCACCACCCATGGATGCTTCAATGGATTTTTGCTCCCCAAACACTTCCCAGAGCTGTGAGAAATAACTCCAGCTTCCTTTATCTCCTGCTTTATCCACAACTTCGGCTGTGACACTGAATTTTCTGATGCTGCTCATAACATTTATAAAGACAATCACAGCTTGTCAAGACAATATTAGTCCTGAGCCAACATTTCATTATTAAATTAAAATTGCACTTATTTTGATTTTAATTCCAGTGGCTGCGTAACAACTGTTGGAATAATAAGGAAAAAATACCAGAAACAAAACAACCAAATGCTTTGAATAAATATTTTTCTAGAGAGCTGTCTGTCAAAATGAGGTGTGACTAATGTAGTCAGCATGTGCATTCCCAAACTCCCTGCAAAGAACTCCTCAAATCCATTTCCTACGTGGGTATGAGGCCCTGATTCATTACAAGTAATTTGCAGTTTCATTTTAGTCAGAAGTTTCTCATAAAACCAGAAATTAAGCAGTCCCTGACTGAGCACAGGGTTTGTACAATCCTGCTTCTGTTCCTCTGAATGGAAGTGAATCCTTCACAGAATTACTACTGATGCAACTGCCTTAGGTTGTAAATGTGAGAGTGGCTGGAGGTGTGTATTGTACTGTTATCTTCTGGTAATGGGTCAGCCCTTAAAACCAGGTGGGGCAGTTTTCTTTATCTCTTCCAACAACCATCCTCCCTCCAGGAGAGAGGCGAGGGGAGGAATCTGCTGTCCATGGCCACTGAGTGTCCCTGCATGGCTGAGAAAATTCCAGCATCCCACTGCGAGATGCTCCACCCAGGGGAGGAGCCAAGCATTCCTACCTGGATATAATCTGAGGTTTGGAACACTACAGCAGCCTTTGCCCCCTGCATTCCCAGAGGAGCAGCTTTCTTCCCCCTGCATTCCCAGAGGAGCAGCTTTCTCCCCCCTGCATTCCCAGAGGAGCAGCTTTCTTCCCCTGCATTCCCAGAGGAGCCCAGGCCCATCTCCCCCAGCCCTGGAGCTCCAGAGGAAAACTCCCCCCTTGTGCAGGATCCTGCTCCAGCAGAAGCACAGCTGGCACTGCAGGAGGGCTGAGCCACAGGGTGTCAGGGCCTGTTCTGGCTCTGGAAGTGTTGTTTTTTACTCCTGCATTTTTAATTTTCCTATTGAAGAACTGTTATTCTTACTCCTATATCTTTACCTGAGAGCCTCTTAATTTCAAAATTATTATAATTCCGAAGGAGGGGGTTTACATTTTCCATTTCAAGAGAGGCTCCTGCTCTCCTTAGCAGATACTTGGCTTTTCAAACCAAGACAGCAACCCAGGAATCCTGATGGAAATCCCTCTGATCAACCCAGAAATCCTGATGGAAATATCTCTGATTGGCCCAGAAATCCTGATGGAAATATCTGATCAACCCAGAAATCCTGATGGAAATCCCTCTGATCAGCCCAGAAATCCTACATAAAATTTCTACATGCTTCAACATTAATGCTCCTTTTTAGATGAATTTAGTGAGCATAAAACTAAAATTATTTAAGCATGAATAGTAGGCTCAGACAAAAGCAAATCTACAGAACAGCTGACCCTTATTTTGATGTGAAAACAGGAATTGTCAAACACATTTTCACCCTTCCAAAATATTGGTTTTTTTCTCCAGCTCTCACAGAGAACAGCCCACAAGAGGTATTGAGGAGTCCCTAAACCTCAGAAATTACTGGGTTTTGTTAACTCCTTCCATTCTCTCTTTGCAGGGCCTGGCTGTACCTCAGACTGTTGGTGCTAGATGAGTAATCACAGGCAATTAAATTTATTTTAGTTTTTAGATCTGTGCTCTAGGGATAAACCCCTGTACTATGGATTCTTTAATAGAAAGATGAATAAATTAAAGCTGCTTCCATAGCAATGACAAATATCTTTGGACAGCCTGTGGAAAACCTTGCAATATTCATGTTAAATTCTCTAGGGAAAGCCAAACCCTTCCAACCCCATTTTCTCCTTTATCACATCAAAGACCATCCCACTTATGAACTGTAATTTAATTTAATTGTGTGTTTTTTTCTATTTGTAGAGGTTTTATTTTCAGGTATAAATAAAAAAATCTTTTTATTTTTAAAATTTTCTTTCAGGACAAGAATCCCCAACATTATCCACGAAGTTTGCAGAAGCACCCAAGTGTTTGACATTTGCTCAACACCTGCCCAGCTGCTTGTGCTCATCTGGCAAAAAGATTCATTGCAATAAAATAAAAGCAACAGAAACAACTTGGATTAAGTGGAGTCCACCAGCTTCCACTCAGATCAGCCAGAAACCTCCAGAGAAGGAAAAATTTGGGTTATCTTCTAACCTTTAGTTTTGGCAGACGTTTAATGGTCTTCAGAGGCCTGAGCACGCGCAGGACTCGCAGGGACTTGATGGTGTTGATGTCCTTGCCTTTGGTTCCTCTGCAAGGGAGAAAAAGGCACAAGAACAACAGAGGGAATCGTTTGCTCCCCAGGCCACTCACTGGGATATTTGTGGGTATCCAGGGTGGCTTTGGTGGTGGAACTGGTTGGGTTTGGGGATGTTTTGACAGGTTGTGTGTCCATCCTCACCAGGGCTGCAGGCAGGATGACCCAACCTCACCTGGGATGTCTCCAGCAGCACAGAGGAGAAGGCTGGGGCAGGACAGGGTCCTGGCAGGGCTCAGCCACACGGGCTGGCCAGGCTTTGTCACCTCTCAGCCACTTACCAGGACGTGGGGACCTTCCTGCCCCCACTCCACACCGGGGCAACGCTCCCAGCCAGGGCAGCAGCACCGGGACAGGAGGCTCAGCTCCTCCATCCCATTCCCAGCAGGAGAAGGGACAAAGCCACACGAGGCTCTTCCCTCCCAGCTGGATGAGGCAGGGGCTGTTTCTGGATGAGGCAGGGGCTGTTTCTGGATGAGGCAGGGGGTGTTTCTCCGTGCACTTCTCTGGCAGGAACATTGTGCCAAGAGGGTTTGGGAGCCTTCCTGGTGAGGGACAGAGCTCTCCTGGGGGTCAGAGCCTGTTCCCTCATCCCTGAGTCTCCCATGGAGGACATGCCACCAATCCCATGCAGGAACATGTAATATGGCAATATATTACATGCCTGGAACAGTGCTGGGGCAGCTCCCCACTCAGGCATGCAGGTGCTGTCAATCACATTTGGGGTTTAGGTTTTATTAAAACCGAGTGCAAGGTCGAGAACATTCCTCTTGTTAACATCAAGAGGGGTTTGAGGGGAAGGACAGAGTTCCTTTCCTCGTGCACTTCCAAAATAAAGGAACACAAGAAGACAACAGGTACATCTTCTCCCAACCCCACGGCAAAACAACGACATTCCCTTCGTTTCATATGGAGTGGAAAATGGGATGGAAATCTGGAACAGAGTTTTATTCATGGCTGGAGATTTGGGTCTGGGACTGCGCTGAGGGAACACAGGTGGGAATGAAGAACGTGTGAGACAGATGCTGACACACCTATTCTGTGCTCTGCAAGCTGCTGAACACTCCTCTTCTCCCAAGAGGGAAATAATGGAAGTACGAGAGGCCCGAGAGACCCACGGAGGTTTGGGAAGGACTGCAAAGCTTCCCCCACCCTGCCCTACATCCTGTGCTGAGGGAGGAGCACCAAGAGTGGAGGAAGTCACCCAGTTTTGTGGCTGGCTGAGCCTGGAAAGGGTCTTTTTGGAAATCCATCCACTTCCAAAGGGTGAAGAATTCACTCCTAACCCCGTACTACTCAACAGTAACCTGGACCAGAACCTCCAACCCAAACCCACACCCCTGCCTCAGCTCCAGTCCCTTTGTCCCATTACCAGGCATTGCAGTTGTCTGGAAATGCAGTAAGAGGGAGACACAGGAATTTTTGGAGGGCTGTGGGTTGTATCCCAGGGATGTAAAACTTGAGGAGAAATTTCCTTTCCACAAGATTTAGTCGAAGTGGGGGAGAGGGGGAACAGGATGGACAGGTCCCTATCTTCTCCCTCTCTCATCCTCCAGGGCTGTTTCAGGACCATTTTAATCCATCCCAGCTGGACCCTCATCACTGACATGGCTCTAAACCCAGGCATTGGATTTACTCCCAGATCAATAAGACCAATTTAAAGCCTCAAAACAACTATTAAATATTTTTTAAAATAATATTTGATTCTCATTAGAGATCTTTGATCTGCTCTAGATGAAACAGGCACTGCCAGCAGAGTTTTTTCTCCCTTTCTTGTCAGGTTTCAGCAGGGCTGAAGGTCTGGCCTAGGCTTGGCTTTGCAGATTTGCTTTCAGCTCACTGTCCCTGCCATGGTCACCTCGGTGTCACCAGAGCCACCAGCTGACCTGCAGCTCCCCACTGTGACTCTCAGCAGTGCCCTGGCTGCAGAACAGTTTGTTCAGCCTCTCCAGGAGGATGGGAATGGCAGAAGAGAAGCAAAAGAAGAAATGGGTCATGGCCAAGGAGATGCCACAGCAAATGCCACCTGTCCCCAGGGCTGGGGCCACCCCATGCCCATCCCCTGGGCTGCCCCCTCTGCTCCCTGCACCTCTCCCCTCTGCCAGGCCAATCCTGCACTGCTCCTGGGGAAAGCCAGGGGAGGTGGGAGCTGGGGAGGGCAGGAGCCAAGGGCAGACCCTTCAGGGTGGCATTTGGGGCAGCAGGACAGGGAAGGGGTGGGACACGGGGACACGGAGCCCAGAGCTCTGCTCCATCCCAGCCACAGGCACGCTCCTGCTGAGCACGTCACACCCCCAGCCCAGCCCAGCTCAGCTCTGCTCTCCTGGGCTCACTCAGAACCCCAGAATGGTCTGGTTTCTGTGGTGCTTTCTCCTGACACCTGGAGACCCGAACGGACCACACTGCTCTTGTGCCAATTAACAACTGCACTAACGAGGCCTCGTGCAAACACAGAGACCATTTCCCTGCTCTGCTCTCCCAGGGCGGGCTCCACGCCTGAAGCAAGAGTTTCTGTGGATTTAATATTTCCAGGGAGGTTAAAGAGACGTGGGGCAGAGCAAATCCTGGCTCCTGCTTTTCCCTGGAATGGGAGGGGTGCGGATGAGTGAGCTCAGAGGTGGAGGGCAGACAGCTCCAGTCACACGGAATTCCTTCTGCCTCAGCAGAGGACACTAAGAAGGGCTGACTGATTTTTTTCCATTCAGGCACTTAAGCAAATAAAGAGCGTGAGCCAATTAAATCTTAATGGGATTTATGCTCTGAGCCATATAAAGAATCCTGAGGAAAAAAAAAAAAATCCTATTTCTTGTCACAGTAAGGTCCCTACTACAGGAAAAGCTTTTCCTGGTGCTCTGACCCAGGGTGATGCAAATTGAATTTTAATTAAAAGGATCCTCTGCAACTCTTCTGTCAACTAAAACCCTCAGGGCTGGGTTTGGGTGTTTTTAAAAACCCTCTCTGCCAATATTGGTGTTTTTTCCCCTGCTTCCATACAAAGCCAGATGTCTCAGAAAATAAAAGGTCCAGATGGAGCTGGGATTTAGTCAAAAGGTGTATCCAAGCACACATCTGACCTGAATATTCCTCACAACAAAAATAAATTGCCATGGAAGAACAAGGTTTTAATTGACTGCAGAATAACAACTGCAACATTCAGGAGAGTTGAATCTTGAATAAGAGCTAAAGAAAAGTATAGGATAAAGGCAGACAGAAAAAAAAAAAAAGAAAGAAAGAAAAAGAAAAAAAGATAATACCACAAAAAAAATTGCATTAGATCAATTTTGGGTGCATTAGGCCAGTGCTGTTTTGTTGTTGTTTTCTGTGCCAGTTTGCTGCCTGTTTATTTAAAACATTAAAAATATTTTAAAACAGCTTTGCAGAGCCTTTTCTCCCTTTAATAAATAAAGGAACCTTTAAAAAATTAATGGTTCTTTCAAATGGAAGCTGCTTGTTCCTGTTGCTGCTGCCAGCAGCTCTGATTTCAGGTGACATGCACCTCTCAGAGTCAGGGCATCAAAAATTCAGGGTGAGGTGGAGCCTCTGCCTTCTGTGATTGCCTGGAATCCTCCTGGCAGGGTGAATTCTTCCCTGGAAGAGTAAATGAGGTCACCCCACCCTGCCCACGCACAAAGCCATCCTTTTCCTGCCCTAAATCCTCTGCTTTCCTAGAGAGAAGAAAGAACCAAGTGCCAGATTTCCTGGATCCCATCGAAGGCTTTACTTGGCATCCTTCTTTCTGTGGAGGATCCCCCTGGAGCTCCTGGAATGTGGGGATAGAGGACACGGCTCTGCCTCCCACCCTGCCTCTGCACTGACAGCAAAACCGCCACTTGCACAGGGTTAAATACAATTTTTGGAACCTCCTTCTTCACAAATCACCCCTGCAAAAAGCTCCCTGAGCTCTGCTCTCATGGCAGAGACTTTCCCCGGTATCAGAGCCTGGATCCCGGCTGGGTCACATTGCCCACACTACACTCAATCAGTCCTGGAGCTTCCAGCTTGGCTGTTTGGAGGTGGAATCCTCCAAAAGAGACTCAAACTGCTTCTTTAAACCTGGTTATTAAGATTTCCATGAATTGTACCTCAGCCTTCAATGCCCACTGAGGCAGCCCCTCAAATCTTTCTGGTACAGATATATTTCCATGTGGATTTTTGACTCTCTGGCTTGGATTTCTAGTCTGCTGCTATCTCTGCTGAAGGACAATCAGGATGGATGAGGAAAAATAATACATTTCACTGGATAATGAGCAGTAAAGGGACAGAGGGGTCGATGGGATGGGTGGAACATGGCTGGGTTGTCTCCACAGTGGCAAAGTGTGTGGACACAGGTTGGACAGGCAAAACAGAGCAGCAAGAGACAGGAAGAACATATTACCCCATGAAACTCCTAGAGAGAGATTCCAGCGAGGAGAAGACAAAGAAAGAGCAGAGTCAATGACAAACAGAAACATCAGAGAGATCCCCCAGCCCCTGGCCCACTCCCAGCAGCCCCACAGGATAAACCAGCGGGGAAGGGAGGGCTCTGCACAGAAATCCCACATTCCCTGCTGGATCAGCCCTTCCACTGGGAAAAACACCTCCACATCTCTCCCACTTTGCATGGGATAACCTCAACTATTTGTTTTTCTCCAAGAGCATCTCAAAATTCTGGGCATCTCTGTTCCAAATTTTTCCAGGCCAAATCTTTGCTGCTCTCCCTCAGCTGTTCCTCCCAAGTACATTTTGCACCTGGGGCTGAGAGATTTTGGTGACAAGTTTCCATGTTTCTTTTGTTTGCTTCTGTTTCCCTAAGGACTCAAATGTGTCTGGGTGTTTATGGCATGTTTATCTGCGGAAAAAGAAAGGGATTTCTCTTTGAAATGCTTTCCTAAATGGAAGACATTAGTTTATTATTATCAGCATCATATTATTGTTCCCAGCATATCCCCAGGGGTGTTGTTAGAAATTTATTTTTTATTTTTCTAACCACAGAGCTGCTACTAAAGAGCTGCAGGCAGAAAGAAAACCCATAGCTGCTTTGAGAGCTGGATTTTATCAATCTTGTACCAGTGACTGATACCATCTCAAATGCTTAAATTAACACAGGCTGCTGCAATATTCCAGATGGGAGCGTTTCAGGGAGCTCTGTTATTCCCAGGTTTTTAGGGATGGGTTAATTCAGCAAGAAGTTGGTTCACATCACCGTCAGTGGACAACAAGGAGGCCAAAAACATGAATTAAATCCCACCTTGCACGTGGTAGTTGTGAGTTCTTGCAAACAAAGTGGTGACAGCCACATCAAATCCCATTTTTAGTGACACTGAGGAGGGTGACAGGGCTGTAGGATTCGCTGGAAAAATCCAACTGATTGAACAACAAAGAGACTCCAGGAGCTCCTTTTTGGGATTATCAACATTCAGCTGGCTCTGAGTGTCCATCTGGTTTAACCAAACCAGGAGCTGGGCATAAATCATGGCTCTCTACCCTGTCAGGACTCAGAATTGTTTGGGGAAAGTAATTTCCTAGGAATGACTGATTTTCCTGCTTTTGGGCTCCAGCAGGGAGGCTGCAGGCATTCCCTGGATTGGATGCTGCCTACTGGGAGGGGGATGGGGAGCAGGGCTTACAGAAAGCAGAAAAATCACAGAAGAAATTCAAATTTTCCTGAGTCACACAAATAAGCTTGTCTGACTTTAATCTGGGAGACAGTAACTAGGCAGGGTTTATGCAGTCCCTGGCTGTAAAACCCTGCTCAAGACTCACTCACAGTGGAAAATAAAAGCAGCTTGGGGCACCTACTATAAAGCACAGGCAGGGGATGTAAAAGTAATTTATTTAGAGGCTGATGAGGTGCTGTTAGATATTCATGGCCCAACATGAGCAATAGAAGAAAACCTGAGCATGAAAAGCCTCAGAAAGATTAAAAATTATTCATTTTAATCCATAACTCGAGCAAGGAAAATCTCCCTCAAAAGAAAATGGTGTTCAAAGTGAAGATGTTTTAAAGGCAGAGCCTGAGGTTTGTTCTCACAGCACAGGGAGCTGCTCTGAAGGGTTCCCAAAATGCCCCTTTCCCCACCAGGCTTGGAAGTTTGAATTCCTGATGGAAAAGGGAAATTCTCAGGGAAATCCAGACTTTGGGTTGTGTTGTTTTATGTGATTATTTTACTTCTCTACCTCTCTTCAATTCAGAGGAGCTTTGTTGAATTCTAATGTTGTTACATGGCTTTCTTTAGTTAAATTTTTTATTAACTCAGTCTGGCTTAAGTAAATCAAATTCTGAAAGATGTTCCACAGATACATTTCATGTGCAGGGAAATAAAACCCCACACATGTCTAGTCAAGCTTAAAAAGCACCTTGGTTTTGAATATTAAATTTTAAGTGGCAGGACATTCACCAAGATAATTTTGCTTAGGACAGAGCAGTCAGCACCTCAAAAAATCTGATTTTTAATGAGGGACAAAATGTTTAAAGAGCATTCCTTTGCAAACATTATGTTGGGTATGATTTTCTCCAAGACCTGACTAATTTGGTGAAGGATCAGGCACAGCCCAGCTTTCAATATCGCCAAAAATCACACTTAAAATATCGATTCTCTCCATCCACTTTTTGGTTAATTTAACTTGGAGGGTTTATTTGTATTTATTTGTATGTATTTGTATTTGCATTTGCATTTGTATTTGTATTTGTATTTGTATTTGTATTTACATTCATATTTGTATTTGTATTTATTTGCATTTGCACTGAAGAAAAGCAGAGCTAAACCACAAATCTCGCAGCCTCAAGAGGAGTTTTGACAGCTCAGAAAACAAAAAATTGCTGAGGAACATTTTACCAGGAAAGCAACATTTTGTGCATTTTTTGTGCAGAGCTAAGGGAGGAGCAGGGATTTGGCTCTGCTAAGAAAAATTTCTGCCACTCTAAAGCAGCCCAGCCACACTCGAGGCTCCCTGACAAAGGTGGATGCTTTTCTCATTAGCTGCTAATTCTCTTTAGCAAGTGAAACAATTTCCTCTCCTCTAATCACGGTGTCACAAACTGGGGAGTTCGGGGCTGATGAATATTCCCCTAATTACTCGGGGCTAATTTAGCAGAAGATTAAACCGGTCAAGTCCCGCTGCCTGTTCCAGGTGTCTCCCAGTGTTTCTCAGGAAAGGATTTGCAAACAACAATCCGAGTGGAAAATTTCTTTCCATTCTCCAGCTCAGCTCCTGAAGGTTGGAAGGAGCTGCATTGCTCTTCCTCTGGTTGCTTCCAAGGAAAAAAGCTCGGATGAGAAGCTAATCTTAATTTTTAAGGAGTTATTTCTCCGTGTTTGTTGCTCAAAATCCTCCATGACATGAAAGAAGAAGGTGGGGTATTATTTAAAGACATAAATACAGAGCTGGGTTTGGGGGAGGGAGCACTAAGAGTGAAACTCAGTGGAAGTACAGAGAGAGGAGAGAAAAGGAGAGAAATAGCAAAGGTTTGTGAACCAGAATAAATATCCACAACTCTGGAAATAAGGGTTTGCCAAGAGTTCACGGAGTTATCAACTGATTTCTTGAACTGTTTTCTCAAAATGAGAGCGATTCTCACAGTCACTGACTGGAGACACTGGACTGCCACAAAGTGTTACGGTGAGTTCCTGAAAAGAATTGGCCAAAGAGTCACAAAAATCCTGGCTTGTGTGTGAATGAGCAGTGAATGGACTCAGCCTAAAGCTGGGAGGATTTTCACGAGATTCCACAACACAAATTTAATTGGGTTTATTCTTTTCTTCCCATCCCCTGCCCGCTAGCTACGAGAGGGAAAAGGGCAGGAACGGAACATTTCACTGAGAAATGGAGCCACGAACATCACACAGCCACTGTCCCTGTGCCAGCCTCCTGCCCCCTCTGTCACCTATTCCCTGGGATTTGGGAGGAGGAGGAAAATGAACTTACGAGAAGGCAAAAGCCACCAAGGCCCCACTGACCACAATGAAGTCCAGGATGTTCCACAGGTCACGGAAGTAGGAGCCAGGGTGGAGCAGCAGCCCCAAATCAATCATCTGCAGAGAAAACCCAGAAAAAGGAAGACTTTTAATAAAACATGGCCCAAATCCACCCTGCCAAGGGGCAGGAGAAGGTTCTGGATCAAAGCACCTTCACAAATTGCTGAGATACTCAGCCAAGCTGCTCCTCTCTAACAGGCAGGAAAACTCTCCCAAAAATGAATCTCAAATCAACAAACCACAACCAAAAGCTGTAGAAATGAGAGCTCTCACTGCTCCCTAGGATTTTTTTCCACACACGTGCATTAATCCTGATTTTATTCTGCATCTCTTTTGTATCTTGCTCTGACAGGAAAACCCAACTCCTGCCTTACCCCAACACTGAATCCTGATCTTATGGAATTGTGCTCTCTGGGAAGTTACTGCCCCACAGTCCTGGCAAAACCTGTCACCCTACTGAGTAAAAAGATAAATTCTCAGCTTTTTGAAACATGACAAACCAAGAATCAGTGGTTATTAAAATTCCTGCTCAGCGCCCAAGGAAAAGGGAAGAATCAGGAGTGTCTCAGCACGGTCTGTCAGCTCGTTTCTTCCCAATTCTTATCCTCTTACACAGCCACAGCTCCTAAAGATATCCTGATTTTCCTCCATAAAATATGAGTTTGAAGCTAGGAGAGCTTTCCCAACTTCAAGCTCTCCATCCTCCCCACCTCTGTCCCGCTCCAGCTTCTCACAAATAAATCTGAAAGAGGAAGTGAATCTTTCTGCTTGGAAAAGTTCTTACCTTAATCACCATCTCAAAGGTGAAGACTCCTGTAAATATATAATCCAGGTATTTCAGAGCCTAAGTGGGAAGGGGAAATGTGTGTTATGGAAGGCCACATACTGAAATAACCAGCACATGAGCAAGGAGTAAAATACCTCATCCAGCAATGGTCTGGCTGCTGGGATGGACAAAAATCAGCTGCTGGGAGACTTTCAGATTATTTAGGCACAAGCCTGAATTAACTGATTTAAAGCAGCATTTTCCCAGTCCTTGCCACACTGCACCCAAGGCTGGCTCCAATGCACCTGCATTTCTGGCAGGTTTACCAAGGCAAAAAGGGGTATTTCAAATTGAAATGTTTGAACATCCTTTCCTAAGGATCCAGCCTCTCCCAATGTGGAATGAGGTGCCAGCTTGGCAGCCCCTCCACCAAAGCCACATCAGCCACACAGCCCCTGATTTCCAAGCTCTCAAGCTCAGATGTGGTTGAAGCAGCAGAAAGGGACAGGAATTGGAGCATTTTGGCAGAAAACAAAACTAACTGGGGTGTGTTCACCTCTAATTCTGCATCGCCAGCACCGTGCGTTACCCTGCGCAGATGGGAACAGCCACGCGGGAGCTGGGAGGAGCAAAGCACCTGAATTCTGGGAATTTTGGGTGGCACTCACATCGTTCCTGGGAGACTCAGCTTGGACAGGGTCCTCTGCAGCCAGGGCGATGCTGCTGAGGGCGATGACGATCAGGATCACCATCTCGAAGTAGCGCAGGTTGACGATGTAGTGGAACAGGCGCCGGATCCTGTGGGACAGGAGCACAGGAGGGGTCACGGGGCTGGCAGAGGCACAGACTGGCACAAACCCAGCAGGAGCAGCACCTCTGGGATTCCTGCTGTAATCATGGGAAGGAAATTAAAAACCAGGCTTTAAATTCCAGTTCGCAGCGGATCTGTGGTGACAGTTAAATAAGGAAGTTCAGCATCTTTGCACTGATCTCTGCTCCCTCTGCAAAGAAACAACATCCATTCATATCTTTATCTCTTCATCTATTTATCTCCCTATCTATTTATTTCCCTATCTATTTATCTCTCTACCCATCTGTCAAAAAGAGCACTGAGAGCTTTCAAGCATTCACACTCAATTCTACAAATTATGTTTATGGCACTCCCCCGTCCTTCTCCCTCTGAACTGCCAGGCTAACGCCCTGTGAGCTCAAAACAAGGTTTGAAATCCTTTTAGTGTCAACTAATCCCTTTAAAATGCTGAGACTCTCAGCTCAATCTGCCTTTGTGGCTCTGAGTGATCCTCCCACCAATCTCCCTCTGCCTGCACTTTACTCCAACTCACACTTTACAGCACAAATACTTTACAGGAATAGATTTGATTACTTCCACCTAATCTTTTTATTCACAAATTGTGTCCGAGGAAAACGGCAAATGCTCCCATTTCTAAGCAATCCAAAACTCTTCACAAATTGCAGCTAATAATTCCTTCTGACCACAATTCCCAAATCCTTAATTGCACACTGAGCTCTGCATTTGCACCATATTTGTCAGCTGAATAAAGGACTTAGCCTGAGAATCAAATTATAGATTTAACTTGCCAACAACTTTGTTATCTGAGAATGTATTTCGGCTCCTCTATCCCATTTTCTCTAAGCAAATATCTGAACAGTTGGAATGAAAGTCTATTTTTCACATCTACTTACATACTCCTTTTCTTTGGCTTGCTAATGGATTCAGAGTGGAAAAGAGTTACAAATACCAGGGAATCAAATGTGATAGAAAATAACCTGGAGAAAAGTGCTTTTGTGGACCCCTTAACTGTGGTTTTCAATCTGCCAGGAGAAGATGATCATCTCCATGCCCCGAGAAGCCACAGAAGTGAAAGGCAACATTTCCAATAACATTTGTAGCCATAATTCCTGCATCAAACTCAATTCATCAAAGCAATAACAAACCCCTATTTTTAGCCCCTCATCATTCATAACCAGCAGTGAGATGTGGGAGCATTTGTGAACCGCCAGTGGGGCTTGAGAAATCACTTCACAGCCCTGCGTGCTCCAAGAGGGTGCTGGCACTTGGGGACAAAAGGAATTTATTTCTGCTTCCCTGAACTGTTTTCCCCTCTGGCAGCACCCGGGTCATGGATCCCCAGCAGGGCTTGGAAGGGAGATGGCAGCACTGGAGTGGGAAAAGCTTCTGACCCCAGAAAGGGCTCTCAGCTCTGCTCCCAGCAGCCAGAACACCTGGGGGGATGCAGCTGGCTCTGCACCTTGCCCACAGGAGGACCAACAAGCTGCTGACATCCCTGCACTTTGGGCTTTGTCTTGTTATTCCCCCTTGGCTTGCTTGTAACACGCTTTTTCTGCCAGTGAACTTTGTTTTTCCAATGGTTCTGCAGCACAGCTTTTTTTCCTGGGAGGAAGTGAAAGCTGGAGGAAGCTGAAACAACAAAGCAACTGAAAGAACCCCCAGATGCTGGACTCTGAGGCTCAGAAGGTCCTAACTGGGATGAGGGGAGAGAAAAGAAGGAGCCATGGGAATCAAGGAAATTTTGCTGCTTCTCTGCCTGCCCAGCCCAGCCCTCAGCTCAGAGCCCTGGGCTCAGCACCCCTCACTCCCCACCCAGCAATGCTGCCTTGGCTGATCTTTCCCAGCACATTTTTGGTGGTCACTTCACAGCAAAAAGACCAAATATTAGGGAAATATCATTTCCTTATCCATCCAGACAGAGGCCAAACTCCATAAATCCTTATTTTAGCATCCCAGGTCATGGTCCCAAGGCTGCCAGAGCTCCAGGAGTGTTTGGACAATCTGGGATGGCCAGGATGGGATTGTTGGGGTGTCTGTGCAGGGCCAGGAGCCAGATCAATGATCCTGGTGAGTCCCTCACAGCTCAACCAGGAGATTCTGGGATTCTGGGATGCTGTTCAGCCTGCCCAGGGTCCAGGGGTACCACAGGGGCTTTTTGGTTGTAAAATCTAAGAACCCAGAGCTTGTTTTGCTCCAGGACTGCCCAGGATGTCACAGCCCCCAGCAGCAGGAGGAGAACTCATCCTTCCCTTAAATCCAGCTGCCAAAGAAGGGCCTGAGCTCCCCTTTGGTATCTGGGCAGAGAGAAATTCTGAGAAGTACCAGTTCACCTGAGCTAGAGAGAAACCTCTGCTCCGAGGGGATCTCCAGAAGTTCCAAACTGACTCAAAGCCCTTCATGCCACAATAATTCCAACCCCTCTCCCCTGCAGCCCTGCACAGGAACAGATTCAGAATTCTCAGGTTTGAGTCCAAAGCTCCCCAGGAGGCAGCGCTGCCTGAAGGAGAAGAAATGCCCCAATCCCAGCAGATCTCACTCCCAGCCTTGGCAAATAAAAAATATCCAGGTTTTCCCAGAAGTTCAAAGTTTGCAGTGATGCAAAGCCATTTTGTGGAAAGAACAGGAATTCCAGCTGAGGAACATGCAGGAATTTGCTGCTATCCAAACAGTCCTCAACCTCTTACTCCTGATAAAATCTTTTCCCAACAGTACCTGTGCTCCCACTTTTTGGGATCTAAATCAGCAAGGTCTGCCCAAAGCATTTTCTTTTCCCTGTGCTGATAATTTATCACCCCAGGAAAACTAACTGATCAACAGCATCCAGCCCACAGAAATAAGCTTTTGTTTCATGTCCCAGTGTGTTTTCAGAGATGAAAATCCCACTCATGTTACTGCTTTGAAGCACCTGGAACTTATAATTGGTGTTACAGGAACTTACGGATTTGTGGGGCTGAGGATGAACATGGAACTGTAAGGCAGGATTGGTTTAGGCCCATTCTTCGTCAAGTCATCGACGTCTTTCTTCTCCTCTGGCTTGCTCTCAAACTCCACGTTGTTCACTGGAAATGGGAATTCAGGGAGAACACAAAGGAGAGGGTTAAAAATGGATCCTCAATGGAAAGAGTGCAGCTGGGAGAGCAAAGAGCCTCGGGAAGTGCTGATGAAATGGGATGAACAATCACTGTTATCGCTCTGCCCCTCCACTGCCGGTGAGCCATGAGCAGGAACAGCCAGGAAATGAAACCATGAGCTGATTTATCCCAGAGCTGCCAAACTGGGGCTGGAAAACCCATCCCAAAGACCACAAATGCTTAGGGAGAGGGATCAGCTCAGGATCCTTCAAAGAAAATCAAAAGGAAGTCTGAGCAGCCTCGTAATTTGGTGTTTGCTCCCACGGAGCAGGAGCAAAACTGGCTTTGGAACACATAAAAGAGCAGATTCATGGGGGTGAGGTTTAATAATCGGGGGACTGAGACTGCTGAACTTCCCAGAAATAGGAAAAGAGATGTGGAAAGGACATCTTAGACCCCCGGAGCCGTGCCTGCATCGTGCACCTCGGTTTGGTCAGAGTTCCCCACATGCCAAGGAGAGCAGCTCCATCCTGCAGCAGGTTTTGGGATCTCCTTCTCTGAGACTGTTCCCAACCTCCCTCCCAAAGGCTGGAATTTCTCCAGTTCCCACCCTGACTTTACTTGCAGGGGGTTTATGGGATAATTTACTGAAGATAACTTCCCATCTATGAGCTGGGTAACATTTTATGCTGCAAATTCTCTTCTTAGACAAATATAACGGCTCTTGCATCAATTCCCAGGACCTGAAGTCCAACAATCCCACCCTTTGGAATGCATTCAGTGAAGGGCTGTTATTACTTTTTATTTTATTTTGCAAGAAAATGACATTTCTTTGTGTTTGAGTGACATGTTCAATAAACTGCTTATTGGATCTCCAGTCAGATCCAGAGGAAAGGGCCAAGAAAGGGAGAGGCTGATAAATTGTGATTGACAGGAACTCAGCATTGCAATATAGGAAAATTACCATTGAAGAGGGGGACAAAGAAAAGGAGAAAGAAGGAAAAAGAAATTAAAATATATATATATATAAATCTTGTGGCTGACAACAGGGTGAAAAAGCACAGAGACCCTGCCAGATCTTGTCTGTGCCTCTTGGAAAGCAGAGTCCTGGCAGTCTGAAGCTTAATGTGGACCTCTTGGATTTCCCAGTGGGATTCTCCTCAGCTCTCCAGACTCCTCCAGGTTGTTCCCAGCCTGGCAGGGATCAGCACCCAGGTGGTGGGAACAGGCTGGTGGTGGCTGGGCACAAGGATCTTGGGACCATCTGTAGATCTGTGCTGACAGACCCTAGGCAGAGAGCTCTGGAGAAGGACAGGGAGGGTGGATGTGCTCCAAGTGTGATGCAGAAGATTGTAAAAAAGCTCTGGAATGTCACAGGGTCCCAAAGCAGCAGGGTCACACATGGATGGTGCTCCCCCTGCTCCTTCACCTCTCCCCTACACAAAGGGTGTGGCCTGGGGAATCTCCAGGGAATCTCAGGTGTTTGTTCCAGAGCCAGCAGGCAGCCAGGAACCCTTGCTGAGTCCCTGCAGTCTGTGTGGCAGTTACAGATCCTCAGTCACCAAGTTCCCTGGCTGCCTCTCCCCCCTCCCTCCTTGGAAATCCGCATTTCCTGGCAATTCCACAGCAGAAAGAGGGGACAAAGGCACTCACTTGGAATGACAGTGGTCTCCCCTGGAGGGGCAGTGATGGTGACAGGGATGTTCACAGTGGTGGTTTTGTCCAGGGGGGGCTGGATCATCCTGGTCACGTTCTTCTGGTTGTCGGCATCCTCGGGCTGCTCAGGCACCTTCTGCAGGTAAGTGCTGGGCAGGGTGTGCACAGGGACACCCCCAGGGCCACTGCCACTGCCACTGGCCTCCAGCTCACACTGATTCTCCCTAGGAAAAAGCAGGATTTGTTCAATATGGCCCGGGAAAGGTTCAGAGAACACACTCCTGATGCTGCACCTCGTGCTGGGCTTGTTTCCTCCATGGAAATCCTTTGCAGGACAACCTCTGACAGCAAAATTTGGGATCTTTTTCTCTGAGACCTCACAAGCCAAACCCCAATCCCAACGTTAGGAGGGGACTGTGGCACTGGATATCCCTGAGGTCACTTTAATGATGCTCCTAAGCCAGGACCATGGAGCAGCACCATGAGCCACTCCCCAGGGCAGCTGCTGGATGAATCCTCACACACTGCTCCCTAACGCTCTCCCCAGGCCTTATTTAAATGTGCTGATTCTCTTTTCCAGATTTTGGAACGGTTTGGAACAGTTTTGGAACCTTTCTGGACCGTGGCAATCAGCAGCTAAATGGCTCCTGCTCTCCTCTGCAGCAGCAGCAGCTCTGCTCCAGTGAGGAGGAAAGCGAGCCCATGCACATGAGCACGCTGAGCAGCAGGCAGAGTGTTTGGAAATTCAGCTGAAAGGAAGATAATTTGGACAGGAAAATTATTATCTCAGTGCCACTCATAGCTCTCCATGGTGACATGAACTCTATTCTAAAGAATCCCCATGCAATTTCTTTTCCATCAGACTAATAAAGCTGAAAAGCCAATCTATCCTTCTTTATTAACTACTCCAAATGCTTCACCAGGGCTGCTTTTCTCACTTGACTTACGTAAGAATTAAAGCAAATGGGGGCCATCGTTGCTCTTAATGGAAGAGGCCATGTGCTGGAACAACTGACGGTGCAGCTGAAGGCTCCCCATTAAAAATGAAAATCAAAGGGCTGTAAGCAAGGCTGGCTGAAGTTTAAATCGATGTCCCTCAGGAGCTTCCTTCAGAAGCTGGGAAATTCTCTGCTCCACTTGGTGTCCTACGGGGTCTGTCAGTGTTTACAGCAAGGATATTTCCTGCCTTAAACCTGAGCCGTTTTATGAACCAAAATTGTCTTTGGGAGCCTCTGTCACCGCTGATTGAGGCAAGACAGAGCTGCAGGTTGTGGTGGGAGCTGGTGTGGGGACAGGGACAGCAGGGAACGCCACGGGGAGGGCGAGATGGGATTTTCTGGAACACATCTGGTGCTTTGTGACCCCCGAACCCACCCGGGCACGGCGTGGCAGCACTCACTCACTTGGGCTGGTGATTCCGGCGCTCCTTCTCGCCAGCCTCCCCCTCCTTCTCCCCGCCGTCCTTCTCCACGGACTCGTAGGTGGCCAGGGCCCTGTTCCTGAGCCGGTGCCGCCGGTGGGGCTCCTCTCCGCTGTCGCCCTTGGCGCCGGGCTCTCCGTCCCTGTTCCCGGAGCGGGACCCGCCGCGGTGCCGGGAGCGCCGCTCGCCGCGGGCACCGTTGGCGGTGCCGTTGCCCTCCTTGGCCGGCCGGTCGGACGAGTGCCGGTGGCTGCGGTGCCTGCGGTGCTCCTTCTCGGCCCCTTCCTCCACCGAGCCCCGCCGGTGGTGCCTCTTCCCCCCTTCCTGCCCCCTGTTGCGGTCGCTTTTCCCTTCCTTGCTACCCCCTTCCACCTCCTTGCTGCGGCTCCGGTGCTGTCGGTGCCGCTCCTCCTTGTTGCCGGCCCCGGCTTCGCCGCTCTCCTCCTTGGTCACGTCTCCCTTCTCCTGCTCGCCCAGCTTCTCCTTCTCCCGATGCCTGTGGTGCTTCCGTGGCGCTTCTGCCCCATCGGCGGAGGTGGGTTTGGGGTGCTCCACCACCTCCTGGACATCCGCGGGGCTCAGCTTGGTGATGTTGTTCCTGCCTTCGCCGCGGGGCTCCACGACCAGCGGCCGGTCCAGGTGGGTTTTCATGTCGGGTCGGATGTGCAGGGTGGTGGCGTAGCGGACCCGCTCCTCGGGGTCCAGCTCGTTGTACAGCGCCTCGCAGCTGGCTCGGAAGTTGTGCATCCGGATCTGGCTCGTCCTCTGCTCCCAAACCGACTTGGATTTGGAGGAATTCTGCTGCTTGCTAAGGGCGGGAGAAACGTGAGAAGTCAGCACCCGATTTCACTCCAATTCCCTAAATGCCAACCAAAAATAAAAAAAAAAAAAGAGGAATTTTTCAGCTGAGGTGGGAAATTAGAGGGTCGAACCAAAGGAGTAACAGGGATGGAGAGAGAACATAAGCAGAGAAAGCCAGCAGGATCATCCGTGTTAGTTTGCCCACACACTATGAGATCAGCCCTCTGGAAAGGAGTTATTCTGCATTACAGAAATGTGGAAGCCTCGGGAGTAGTCTGAAGGATTAAAACATCAGCACACAAAAATCACACACCTCAGCCAGAGCTTTGGAACAGCCCACAAAGCTTCCCCAAATTAGCAGCGCTTTACTCCCCACCTGGAAATATCTGGATGAGGAAATTAGCAGTAAGCAAGAGAAGTTAGATCAGCAGGAGGAGCAGGGAAAATGAACCTGTCCCAGAGGATCCGAGCCTGCCACCAGCCCCTTCCCCTTCCAGCCAGCCCCAGGGGTTGTTTTCCAGCTGTGCTGCCCTGCTGGCTCATGGAACAGGTCTAAATGGAACTGCTCTAAATCCACAACATCCTTCCAGCTGAGCATGGACACATCACTGGAGAATGGAAAAGTACAACGAGGAAAGGGAAACTGTCCTGTGCACCAGGAAACGAGCCCAGAGAGTGGGAGAGTCACACACACATCCATAGACTACCCTGAGCTGGAAGGGACCCCAAGGATCACCCAGCCCAGCTCCTGTCCCTGCCCAGACCCCCAAAATCCCACCCTGGGCATCCCTGACAGCGCTGCCCAAAGGCTCCTGGAGCTCTGGCAGCCCCACACCTCAGCCTGAGCTGTGCAGCTGGAGGGAGCAGAGCCCACACGGAGGCAACACAACTTCCTTACGCATTTTCTGGGCTCCCCTGGCAGTGGAAAAAAAGCAGCTTTTGCGTGTTCTGCTGCTGGTTGGGACTGTCTGGCTCTGTCACCGTGCACAGACCCCAAGGAGGTGACGTCCAGCCACGCTCATGTGGCACAGTGGGAGCTGTCAGAAGGGTTTTGTGTCGCTGGGCTCTGCTGGGGAATCGCTTCTTTACCAAGGTTGCTGCTGGTGCTGCTGAAGAGGAAAAAATTCACTAAAAGCCCTCATGAGAGCACCCAGGCAGATGTGAAGAAACCTCATTTAGTCTCAAAATCAGTGCTGATCACCAAAATTAGATATCTATACTCTGTTGCCAAGTTCTGGACTCATTATCCAGCAGCCAAGTCCCCCATTTGCACCATGGCAGGAGAACAAGTGATAAAAATCACAGTTCTAAATGTAAATAACACCAGAAGGTCCTGGAGACATGGCCGAGGGCCCTGCTCACCCCAAATCCCACATTCAAGGGAGAACAAGCTCCTCCTGAGGCAGAGCCCCCTCCAAGCTGGCACAAGGATGAACAGCCCCATCACAGTGGGTACTCTGTGCCTTCTTTAGCTCAAAATGATGAAAATTTAAAATATTTTCACTCATCAGCAGCTTTCCTTGGTCTGAGAAGGAATGAGGAAAGTGCAGAGCCTCTGACTGCCCAGCCCTGATTCCCTGTCCAAGGATTTCCCGTGGAAGCCACAGGAAAGCTCTGCACAGCTCTCACAGGCAGGAGCTGCCTGGGATGGGCATCCCGGGGTGTCCTGCACATCCTCTGCGATGGCTGGGTGCCTTGCTCTGCCACACTCCAGGTTTTAGCTCTGCTAAACCAAACTGGGTATAAATCTCTTCAAAGCCAGGCTCAGGGGAAGCTCAGGGATTTTCTGAGCTGACATGAAATGCTGGCACCTCTGTTCTTAGGGAATATTCCTCACTCCGTATTTAAAGTGCTGGGGTGGGGACCAGCCTATGTCCTGCGCTTTGGGCAGCACTGAGCTGATCATCAGCCTTAATGATTAATTAGAAAAGTGACTTTGTGCTGAAACCTCCAGTTTACCTAAAACACAAGAGCAGAGGGAGGAGCACAGCCCGCTCCATCCTGTGCTCCGTTGCCATGGGACAGGAACCAGCAGGGCTGGGACACAAAGCCTCAGTGTCCCTGCAGTGACTCTCCAGAGCAAAACACAGAGGAAATCATCAGGCAGCTCCCATGGACACAGCCTGTGCTCGCTGCTGTGCTGAGCCCATCCCAGCTGCCCTAGGCTGGAAATGCAAGATGTGGCTGGGGTGTTATTCAATTCCCATCTGCCACAGCTGGGCAGTTCTCTGTTCAGGGGCACTTTGCTTTATCTCTCCCACAGCCAATCCTCCCTCCAGGAGATCTCTGCTGTTCATGGGCCATTAATTATTAATTATCTTCTGTCCATGGCCACTGAGTGTCCCTGCATGGCTGAGAAAATTCCAGCATCCCATGGGGAGAGGCTCTGCCAGGGGAGGAGCCAAACATTCCTACCTGGATCCAATCTGACCTGGGAACAGCACAGCAGCCTTTGCCCCCTGCATTCCCAGAGGAGCAGCTTTCTCCCCCCTGCATTCCCAGAGGAACAGCTTTCTTCCCCCTGCATTCCCAGAGGAGCAGCTTCCTTCCCCCTGCATTCCCAGAGGAGCAGCTTCCTTCCCCCTGCATTCCCAGAGGAGCCCAGGCCCATCTCCCCCAGCCCTGGAGCTCCAAGGAAAACTCCCCCCTTGTGCAGATCCTGCTCCAGCAGAAGCACAGCTGGCACTGCAGGAGGGCTGAGCCCCCCTGGGATGGGGCTGAGCCACTCCCTGACCCACAGGGGACAGGGCTGCTCTGACTCTGCAGTGGAGTTTTTTGTGATTTTGGTTGTTGGTTGTTTTTTTTTTTTTTTTTTTTTTTTTTTTTTTTTTTTTTTTTTTTTTTTTTTTTTTTTTTTTTTTTTTTTTTTTTTTTTTGTACTATTGCATTTGTATTTTAATTTTCCTAGTAAAGAACTGTTATTCCCTTATCTTGGCCTGAGAGCCCATTAATTTCAAAATTACAATAATTCAGAGGGTGGGGGTTTACATTTTCCATTTCAAAGAAGGCTCCTGCCTTCCTTAGCAGGCACCTGTCTGTTCAAACCAAGACACCAGCCGAGAAGGAAAGACAATCCCCTCAATCAGGATGGATGTGGGGAGGAGGAAGGTTGGGATTGAGGGCTGATCCTCAGCCCAGCTCTGACACGAGCTGTGCCACTGCAGGAGGGGTTTTGCACTTGTGTTTCAGTTCCACCAAGAACATAAATCAGCTTTTAAATGATCTCTGAGCTGTTGCCACTACCCATCACCCAGGGCTGAGTGAGAGGTGCTGCCAGGGAACTGCACCCCTGAGAACCTGCAGGAGCCAGGCAGTGCACACATCAACCCAGCTCAGATCCCTGGGTAAAACAGGCAGTGACATTCCGAGCTGGAGCTTCCCAGCACCTGGAAATGAGCTGCATCCTTAATGCTGACACAAGTCACGGAGGCAAGTGCCAAAAACCCCAGCACAAAGCCACCCGCTGGCTCTGGGCACCAACACCTCCAGAGCAGGAGCTGCAGAGGCAATGCCTGCGCAGCCATTCCTCTTTCCACGAGGAAAACACTCCGAAAAAAAAAAAGTTTAAAATGGCAAATTGGGATATTTACAAAGTGCAATAAAAACCCAAGCAGGAAAACGCAGCACATATGAGCTCAATTCCATCTCCAGAGCAGTGAGGAGCATCCCAAATCCCATCATCCCAAATCGTGTCATCTCAAATCCTGTCATCCCAAAAACACCACTCAGGAGCCAGGGCCAGGGCACAGGGGCTGCTCTGGGAGTGGGGGCAAAGCACCTGAGTACATGGGCCCTGTGGGGACAGCGCTGGGAATTCCAGAGCCAGAGAAGCAGCAGGAAGTGGCAGCTGCTTGTCCAGTTGGATTTATCCAACCCTGGGAATTCCAGAGCCAGAATAGCAGCAGGAAGTGGCAGCTGCTTGTCCAGCTGGATTTCTCCAGCCCTGGCTCTCTCTGAGTCCCCACAGGTCGGGATTTGTGGCACTCCTCCTCTCCTGGTGCTCTCTGGGCATGGGGACAGCCTGGGAGCTGATTTATGGCACCCCTTAAAACCAAGCAGCGTGTCAGCCCAGCTGCCTGCCCGGGAGGAGATGCAGCAACAGAAGGGGTTTAGAGGAGATGGAAAAACATCAACAGGGCAAAAATTAATTCCTCTGCTTTCCCCCCTCGTTTGGGGCAGTGAGTTCTGCTCAATTCGGGGCAGGCACAGCCCAGCTACAGCACGAGCAGGGCAGGACTTGTCTAAACTGATCAAAAAGAGAGGATTTGTGAGAACAAATATTTACTTCACAAAAAAAAAAAATCCACAAAAATCCATAAAATTCCACAAAAAAACATAAAGCCAACTGCTTATCTGAACCCTGCTCATTGCTGGCTGCTTAAAATGTTCCTGAAGCCATTAAGGAAATTGCCCTGTAAATCACTCCTGACTTGCCAACATCCTACAAACACTGCTGGTAATTCATTGCTTTACTCCCCATCCCTATTTTCAGGAATATTTGGAACTCTTTGAAGGCTCTGCTCCATCCCAGATCCTCCAGGCTGGAAATGTTGTAAATATCACTGCTGGTACCAGCACCACTGGTTGGGTTAAGACACCAACAACTCCTGCCTGTGGCTGGGAAAAAAAACCCTCAATTCCTGGAGAATCAAATAAAAATCATATTAATGAATCAATGACTAATATTGGTATAAATAAAAACTGCAAGCACTGTGTGGTTTGTTCAAGAAAGGGAAGTGTATTTTTAGTCAGATTCTAATCTTAGGGTGCTCCTTAATGATTCAAGATTTTGTTCCCATAACCTTTGAAATCACTGCTGCACTTCATGGAAATCCTTAAAAATTTGCTGCAGTAAATAATGAATGAAATCAGCCCATGGAAAGATAATAATTCAGTGTTAAAAATAACCACACATTACACACTGGCAGTGAAATTCTGTGTTTCAGATAAAAGGGAATTTGTTGTTAAAATACAACAAAACCTTTCTACTCAAATCCTATTTTCTGT